AAAAAAAAAAAAAAAAAAAAAAAAAAAAAAAACAAGAAATTTTGTTTAGTGTATTAGTGAAACAATTAGTGGTGAAGAACATGATGCATTTGGTCAGAGTCAGAAGAGTGTTTTGTAGTATTAAAGCATTTAACTATTTTTAATATGTGCTAGAATTCAGTAGGAAATATTATAGAATTTTATAAATGATAATATGATGTTTTTTTAAGTTATTATTTACCAATATTCGCCCAATTCTATACTGTGATCATGATAGTAATCATATAAATTTAAATCTAAAATGAGAGAGTGAGATTCTTAATAAAGTATTGGCTGGTGGTAATTTTAAAATTAATACAAATTGGTAAAAGTTGCATCGCCAGTTTTAGCATGAACACTAAACCAAACACAAACAATTAATCAATTTGAGTCACTGTTAATTTAGAATTAGTTCAAGAATTCACTCCATTCGTACAAAAAAATGCTTTACCTTTTTTTCCAATGGCTTTGGGTATTTTTAAAAAGATATACCATCAGCCAAATATTATTAATATCTTTTTTTTTTTTTGTTTTACTTTATTAACATATCTCACACAATTTCCCTAAATGTAAATCATAAAATTGAAAAACATATATTGGAAAGATACATTAATCATATTTAAAAATTTGTTCATCATATATGCACTCGTATATGTTTTGTCGATTACAGTTATATACGCTAAGACACTATACATTTATCTTTCTTTATTCGATCATTCTTGAAAGATACAGATTTCGTAGATTCACGCTGATTTGAGTTTATTAATGGAAGAGACTTTGTGACTTGAGAATGTTTACGTTCATCAGTAACATTGTTTAATGTATTAAATGTTGTGTCTATTTCACTATTGCTGTCTGATGTTTCAGGTGAATATTTTAAGTTATTAGTTTTTGTTACATTATTGCGTTGATTAATAATATTTGATTCAACCAATCTTTCGTTAATTTTAGTGGAATTTAATTGCACGTTATTGGTAGATCCTTCAAAAGGAGATGGAACATTAGCCTTTTGTTTTAAAAATTTTCTTCTTACTGGAACATTAGGAGTATTTTGTACATTAGACATGTTGGAACTTATTGAGGATCCATGTTTTCTTTCTGGTTTTTTTGGAATTTCATCTATTTTGTTTGATAGAATTAAATTATTATTTGTATTCGTTTTGGTTACACGTTTTGGTACTTCAATATTCTGTTCAACAATTTTAACTTTGGCGATTTGCTCGCGTTCAACGGGTAAAGTTGTTAATTCGGAAGAAGATTTAGAATTTTTATGTAATGCGAGAGCAGTTTTATTAGCAACATTTTTTCTCATATTTAAACTATCATCACTTGCATGCAAAATGTATTTATTAGTTTTAATAACATCAAATTGTGGTGTTGATAATATCGTTTTTTCATTAGTGTTACTATCACTAATAGAATGAGTGTTATCTGTTTTTTGTTCATATAATTTCATTTCTGGAATATCATTCGTTAATGGTAATTCACAATTAGGAGTGAAATTAATTATTATATCTTTTTCTGATTTAGTATTCAAAATGTTATTAATTTGTTTTACAGATAATGGAGTTTGTTCTATATTTATATCATTTGATTTCTTTTCATGTAATTCATTTTGTGAAAAGTTATTTAAATCTATATTTTCTTTATTCACATAATTTCTTTGAAGTTCACATTCTTCTATATTTGGTTGTTCATGTATATTTTCTATTTTTAATTTCATAGGCAGCATATTTAAATGCAATTTAGATTCAATATCTTCAATATCGATCGAAAATATTTCTTCGTTTTGTTGTTTTATTTCTTCGAATTCTTTATCAATTTCACTTAATCTATCGACATTATTTTCTGGATCTTCAAGTTTATAATTTAATTTTTCCGAAAATTCGGGCTTCGTTTTTTGAAAATATTTCATTATATCTTTCGTTTCAACTTTATTAGATAATTTTGGCTTAATATCCAATTCGATAACTTTAACATTAGACGATTTTTCTTTTTGAGGAAATACAATATTTTGATCTTTTGGCTTTGGATTTTTTTCATTTGTGAAATATATATTCATTTTTTTTCGAGCATTTTCAGTAGATAATGGTCGAAGTTCACCCACTGGAATTTTATTCCTTGCTTTTCTTTGTTTTAAATCTCGTTTTAATTTATCAAATGAACTATTTCCATCGGATTGAATCATTTGATTATACGGTATTTCTTTAGGTACTGTTAATTTAGCAGTTTCAAATGCTTCTTCCAACGATTTTTCATTTGTCGGAGATGGCGAAGTAACAGTTACGATTGGAATTCGTTTAAAATCCTTTATGAATAATTTCGATTTATCATCATTTGTAGATTTTTTATAATTTCGTGTACTATCTGAATCATAAATTTCTGTTTCTTTTGCAATCATTTTATCTTTCGTATCGGATATTAACGCTTCATCATATAGTGTTTCTGTTGATTTATAAATTTCAGATAAAGAAGATGGCGATGATTCTCTACTACAATTTGGAGAAGAAGTGATTAAATCTGGTAATTTCTCCTTGAAGTTTACAATTTCTTCGGTATTAGGCTGGATTGTATTATTGTAACTAGTCTGAGAAAGTGGTATAGCATCTGGAAGCATAATTCCTGCAAACGCTGTTTGCAGTTTAGTTTTATTATTTGTTTCTGAAAGGGTAATATCTAAGTCAGGCATTACTTTGTTATTTACTTCATTATGACTAGAAATAATTATTTGAGTTAATTTATTATTATCGGTATTATTTATTTTATCTAAGTTTTCATTAAAAGAAATTATATTATTATTCAATATATTACTAGTATCACTGTAGAATGTAGAATTGACCTGATTACTTTTATTTAAGGATTCTTTTTGAATTTTTTGATTTTGATTTAAGCTTGGAAGACCACTTTCATCCACTAAACTTTCGTATTCTGAAATAGATTCATCTATATTATCATGCGTATTGGAATTATTTTGTACATACATAATGGGATTAGAAAGAATTGAAAATGAATCTGAATTTACGCTATTATTTTCTCTATTGTCTGATGTTAAATTACAAGGGGAATCAGACAAAGGAATTAAGCTTCCACATGCTTTGTCTTGATATGTATTCTCTTCACTACCAAACTTTATGTCATCTATTACTCGTTGATCTGTATTTCCTACTAACGTGGGATCATCAATCATCAGTATTTTATCAGGCGATTTTTGCATATCTTCTGTACCGATATCTTGATCAACATCACTATTATTCACGTTTACCTCTTGGTGCGATATTAAATTGGAAATTTGTACAGGAAGTATAAGAGATTCTTGAATTATATTATCTACAGAATCTTGAGAAATTTTCACCTCCGTTTCTGAACCGCTGTCCGTATCGGAGCTACGTGTGGGATTCTTCAACCAAACTTCTTGCTTTCTAAGTTCTCGGGCACGTATGTCGTCTTCATCTTCCGTAGCAGTTGTACTTTCATCGTCTAAATAGAAATTAATTATTTGTTTTTCACAGTATATAATATTTTTCGATAAAAAAGAATATAGTAACAATAATCGTACCTTCATTCGTATATTCATCGCTAGAATCTTCATATTCGTTGCTTCCTGTATCAGATTGTCCCATTGCAGCATGAGGATGGGAATATCGTAGTGTCCAATTTTTCGCAAGTTCAAGAGTTCCTTCGGTTGTTAAGGGTTGATCTATTGCCTCTTCGTATACTTCGTTATCATCATCTGAATCGCTGTTGAAATTATTTAAAAACTTACCTTTTGATATTTCTTATTTTAATTATTAATTATTAACAAGTGATACATAAATACAATTTACCTCATATCCGAAATATCATCACTGGATCCCATTTCTGCGGTAGAAGCCCCGAAATTCCTATCCGTCCATTCATCTTCATCCATTTGGCTTTGAGGTTCTTCAGCATCCGATATTCCTGCTAAATTTTCGAATTCTATTCTCTCAGGTGTTTGTCCACGATCAAGTAAATCAAGACCAACAACACCCTCTAAAGATATCTTTCCCTGAAAATCATTATGTATTAAATATTATTTTTTATCTTTAATCGTACAATCAAATTCAAATCTTTACTTTTTCGGGTGTTTTTAAATTTACAGACGTTGCAGGTATATTTTCTTTATTCAACGTCGTAATTTTCTTCTTTTCCACGCGAGTTTTCAACGTTCCTGAGAAACCAAAATGTTGCGTACAATAAAATCGTCCTCCATTTTTATCCCGATCAAATGTATGGTTTCCTATAATATAAACAGATAATAATTAATAAAAGTTGTATATTTTTATAATATACAATTTTAAAAGATAAATAGGAAACCTATTCTTAACGAGGTAGAACAATATTCGCAACGAAAACATCCTCGATGGAAAAATTTCCCTTCGGCACTAAGTCTCTCCATTAGATAAACTCTTTTATTACAAAAATGACACATTTCTGAACCTCCTTGAGCAGGTAACGTTATCGTGGGCTTGACATTCTATAAAAAAAAAAGTACAGAGAAACAAAGTAATAATAATTAAATTAAAACTTTTAGTACAAAAGAATCTTTAGTCAGCACTTGTATCATTTATTATAAAAATAAATTATATCATATTTGTAATATATATGTTATTAATAACGCAGGATAACAATTAAAAAATACATTTATCGACGTTAAATTCTTTTAGGATAAAATAAACATTTTAGTTTAATCAATTTGACATGATATTGTTTAGTAAGGATAAATGTAAATGCACGTTACTTGTTATTACTATATACATATCGTAACAAAATATATTTATACCCTGTAAAAAGCTAAAAAAAAAAAAATATATATATATAATTTACAAATACATGGGTACATAAGATGACTCGCCTCTCTTGAAAGAAGATACGAAAAATACAAGACACGAGAAACGTCACAAAGATTCCGAATATCCTGCTGACTATATCCTCCAGTATTGAGATTTTAGAATATCGTATTTACCGGTTTCTGCATCTTGGGCTCCGCGTCCTGACTTTTATTTGAAAATTGTTCGGCCATTGCCGACACTTTATTGTACCCAAGCACATTACCCTCTTTGATCTTCCTGTCAATATTCTTCAGGGTATTGTCAATATCAGCGTACTTACTATCTGTCTCCCTTTGATCACGTCCCTTCTTCTCCATCTTGATTTGTCGAGCTAAAAACTGAATGAAGCATATACACATCTGAAAAAGATTGATTATCGGGTACTGCTTAATCATTCGCATGCCAACCTGTTCTCGACTCCATTTCGGCACTCGTTCTACTTTGTCGTGTCGAACCAAACGACCCATTTTATTCTCTTCGATTTTCTTCTCGATTTCCTTCACATTCCAATCGGTCTTCTCAATTTTACCTTTATTAACGTAAATCATATTTTATAATTAAAATAATTCTACCAGATATTATAAAATATTATAAACGATAATTCTATTAGATAGAACTATGGAAGATACAAATACAAACCAATTGCACGCAGAAGATCTCTGGGTTTTTTCTCAACCGGTGTAGATCCTTTCAACTTGTCTTCGATACTTTTTATTCTACCGGAGAATTCTTCGTCTATGCTATTTCTATGATGACCAGCGTGAATCTTAGGTTCTCTATCCTAAAAGAAAAGGAACGGCATGGAATAAATTTGAACGTGCGATTGAGAGAATAGACGACCACAATTTATAAAAAATTCGATAAAAGAAGCGAAAAATGCACTATATAATTTGTAATCACAGTACACGAAAGTAATCACAATTTTATAAAACGAACTAAAAAAAAAAATTTATTCAACAAGAGGTTCCGTTTACCTTAAATTCCTTTAATATCTTCATTATTTCTGTCGATAAAAAGACACTTATATCGGGACAAAGTTTTTTTCAGAACGAATTGATTTATAATTAATCTCTCAAAAATAATTTCTTTTCTTATTATATATATTTATTATTATGGAAAAATAATGTTTTTCATGATCTTGAAAAAAAAAAATTGAACAATCAAACAATTTTGTCTCGACACAATTTTTTATATCGAATAATGAAGATATCAAACGATTAATTATTTTCTATGCAGTGTATAGTGTTAGTGTTACAGTTGTTTAAAGATATGTAAAGCACTTGCAATCGATATTACAAAAATCCTTTTTTTTTTTTTTTTTTTT